GCAGGACCAAACGAACCCTGGACACCCCCTGCCGCCTTCTGTCTTGAAATGAGGCGAGAGGCTAGAGGAGGGGCGACAGAAGCAAGCAGTAGCCGTGGCCCTCCCCTTCACCCTCCGCTCCCTCGTCTCGGCTGCTTCAATGCCCTTCATTCAGCACTCGCTTGGGGGAGATCGGAGACGTGGCGCTGTCCTTCACCAGGCAGCTGCTGGACAACCTCTCCGGCTGCCGGCACCAGGTCGTAGAAGTGGAGGAGAGGGCGATGGACCGCCTGGAGGAGGCGATGGCCTCTGAGGAAGAGGTATGCGTCAGATGCACGTGCCTGAGCGTGACGCCAAGGGTACTGTAACGTGTGTCACTCTATTGCTGGTATCCGTTTTTGCGATTCAGAAGAAGTCGCATTTCCATCACCAAATATATAGTTGCATGCCCAGGGCGATCAATCGCGGGGCCCTAATACTTCGATCAATAGTTTACATACATTCCGGTCGCCCCAGTGGTCTAGTGGGTAACCTCGCAGCCTGCTAAGGGCCAGGTCATGGGTTCAAGTCCCGGCAGAGTGAGTTTTTTTCTCACTAAATATATCCTGGTCTAGAATGAAAGCGACACGCTGCAAAGCTCGTTGTTAGTAAACCATAATCGACTTCGTAAGTCGCGAGGGAAGTGATTCCTGTACCCTTCTCGCGATAAAAATACCTCAGGCAGGAGCCGCAGGAGGGGGTCCAGCCCCCCCCTCCTATGTGACCCCGGTTCGGTCGTCTAGCTGGCACAAGTGGAGGAGAGGGGCCAGAGTGGCAGACGACAGAGTCCAGTGATGGGAGAAAAAAAAAAAAAACATGCACAGCAGCGCTTCATGTGTTCAAGCATGCCTTGAGCGGTCGCAACGTCATCGCCGGGAGAGGTCCAGCGTTGGGTTTGTACACAGAAGAGGGGGTGAGGGAAAGTGATGCTCGACGTCACCCTTTGGCATCGAACGAACTACAGGCAGTGGATCATGGATCATGCGTTGGGAATGGGGGGAGGGGGGGGTACATACACGCTTGTCGAACCTGTTGGCATTGGGGTGCATGAGCAGCCCACCGTCCGTGGATAGATAGCACAGCCCGACCCCCGGAGAGCCAGTCATGAGAGCATCTCTGTAACCCCCGTCTACAAACCGTCGGCCCCTACCGCTGTGTCTCTTTGGTTGTTTTTGTGCGACTCTCACTTGTAACAGGCGCGCGAGACCCAAGCGACGTTTAGGGCGTGTGCCGCGGGGCTCGAGCCACTGGATTCCCAGTCGCTAGACCTCGCCCGCTTCTTGGCCGACAAGGCCATGCAAGCGGGAGCACCGGTGTCCGTTGCGAATGCAGTGGAGGCACCCAAGCCGCCGGGGTACGGCTTGCTGGACTCCTCATTCCGCCCACGGGGTGTCAGCGATGATGCCACGGTGAAGACAGTCCCGTCGCGAGTCGGGTACGCATTCGTGTGCGTTATCGGATGCAAGGGGAGAGGGCATGCCAGATTTTGCCGGGGTCGAAGCGATGACTGCCTTGTTGTCCGTGAGTGGGTTGTCGTAGCTAGGGCTTGTGTCTGCCAAGAGCTTCCAAGCTCGGAACACTCAACATGATGGAGAGCTACTACTGCTGTGTGCATCGTTGTTGTTTCTGTTGCTGTTGCTGTTCCCTGCTGCGGTTGATCCTGTTTTGCTTGGCCACTCTGGCGATTGCTGTTGATGCTGGAAGCTCTGATGCTTGCAGGCTTGCCCCGTTGCTTCCGCTGTCTCCGTCATTCCTATCTAGTCCTATGGCTGGCACGACAAGGTTGTTACCGTATGTGACACAAGATAACACACCCCATGGACCGATTTTCAAATCCCGATTTCTCAACAGCAGAAAGAGTAATGGCGCCGAAAACGGCGGCGTTGGAACCATCTCGTCGGGAGCTTTCCAAAAATGTATCGTTTCGTTTATGCATCCTCTTCGTCGTGGAGTAATCGAGCTTTGAAAATTGGTCCGGGGGGTGTGTTATCTTGTGTCATATACGGTATGCTCGGTCGAGCCTGGTGGTGATACAGAAACAAAGCAAACTATTATTGTTGCCAACACCGCTCCGATTGACCGTTAGAGTAAAGGGTAGCAAGTGCTACACGACACTAGAACTAACATGCGCCCAATCTGTTCCCCCCGTCCGACACATGAATGCATGTTGTAGCCCCCGGTTCAACGGGGTTCGAGACATGACCGCTGCCATCATGTTCAAGTTCGACGCGGACATGACTGCGTGCAGGGACCGGACGGCAGACGGCTGCAACGGCACGGTGAGTTGGTTCAATGGTAGGCATCTATCGTGAAGCAAGGCATTGAACACATAACAAGAAAGTACGAACACACCACGGTAAACAGCAAGGGTTTGAAAAGCGCTTCCGTTCCCCAGCACTCCCGTTCCATAGTCAAATGCTTATGGCCAGCGAAATACAGCATGCTACGAGTACAATATCCCTACCTCTCCTTGGCACTCTCTCCGACTATTTCACCACGATTGGCCTGTGCGTTGTCATTCTTTCGCTCAACAGGGCCCAGCAAAACAGGGCAGCAGCACCGACGGCAGCACCGACGGCAGCACCGACAGCGACAGCGACAGCGACAGCGACAGCGACAGCGACAGCGACACCAACACCGGCAGCGATGGCGCCATCACTGACATGGACGCCGCCAAGGACGACAAGTCCATCGGTGGCGACACCGTTGCTGAGGAAGCCGAGTCCGTCCAACCGATCGACGACGGCAACGGCCCACCGAAGCTGGTGGAGCCGTAACATGTCTTTCTACAGTAGTGGAACCGCATCGGGATTTCGTACACTGTTGATGTTGTTCCACTCGAGCTCGAGAAGAATGTAGTCCTCGTGCGCATTAGTGCAAGGGGAAACTAAAGAGCCATCCGGTACACCTACTGCGGGGCCGAAAAAAACATTTCGAGAGTTTTGCTATTCTTTGAGGCTTAGAGCGCGCTCCACGCAACCCATGAGCGGAGGAGACATCGTATGTGCCGCCTAGTTACGGTGTTTCGTGCATTTTTTTAGCAGATTAGGTGCGCTCTGTTGATGTGCGACGTCGTACCCCTTTTGTGTTGTCATGCTTGCGGGTTCGCAAGAGAGGATCCTGGTTCGCGCAAGGGTACCTCATCGAAAACGGGGTTCCCCGCGCGTGACCCCTATGCTTTGTATAGGAATAAGACTACCGGAATCCCCACTCCCCGGAAGATATCAAAAATAAGGACTATCGATACTTGACTACTGTAGGCATGTTGCAGGGATATAATACTGGTGTACCCTTGGGTGCGGGACGTTCGTTGTCTTGGCTAGTCTTGGTGTGTTACATTTCTCGTCAACACTATTGTTGGTGGTGGTGTCGTTAGGTGCCGAGTGCTGGATTTGAGAATGAGGCCATGTCCTCCCGCCACCCTCTCCGTTTTCGGGATGAGCTTTGAGGTCGATCGATGTAGTCTGCCCAACGTGTGCCGCATTCGCTTCATATATCAGCCGGGGTTTGACAGGACATTGTTTTTACAGTGTAGAATGTCTCAGTGCTCCAGCGCGGCCGTAACTCACGAATGGATGGCTCGTCACCGCAAACCGCAACAACGAAGAAGATGTTTCATTCCAGCGAGAGTGAATCGACGCTCGACCTGCATTAGTACTATTGGAGCAGATCGAGCAGCCAAGCAAGGTGTTGATCGGCTAAACTCGAGAATGGGTGCAATATGAAGTACGAAAACCCGAGGTATCCACATCACCAACCGCACAACGTATGTCGCGGCTGGGGTGGGAGTTTCACCCACGCGAGCTTGCTTCTTTCACCCTTTGTCGATAACACCTGGTCGCGAAAGCTGAAATGTCTAGAGAGTATCTGAGGTTGGAACGGCTGGACCTCTCTCGAATCATGGAAAGTGGAACTAATGCGAAGCCGGGAGGGGCAGTGCCAAGGAAGATATGTTCTCCTGTCGCACGACCCCGGATCAGAGAGCGCTGTTCACATGGAAGGAGGTGAAGTAGCAGGGTCTAGCCTTCACAATATTTTTTCTCGTTTGCATTCCTGTGTCGCCAAGCTTCCCTGTGTGTTGCCCTCGTGGCCATTCTATCTTGCTCGTGGAGTCTCGTCACACATTCCGCTCCCATTTCATTATTTCCACGAGCTGCCACATATGACAAGAAACAGTCATGTACAGCACAGCTTGAAGAGATGGATGGGCGTTTACGTACTATCCCCTCTTCCTCCGCTGTTGTTGTTGCTGTTGTTTTCACAGTATAAACCGTTCCGATCTCTCTGCCCAGTACCTTCGTCTGTCCGTACTAATCAAACACCTAACCGATCGATTTCCGTTATCACAGGCAAACTTATCCTTTACCCGCGATGTTTGGGGTGCAAATCATGGAGTACAGCGGTCTCCTACCACCCACAACAAAGCAGCTGCGACTCATATTCCGGAACAAGCCCTCCTGGTACAATGCAATACCTACGACTTGTGGCCCCAGGTCCCCACAGGCTCCTCCCGTGCGGTCTGCTGTCCGTCTCAACAGACCCATCAGCCCACAACAAGTCGACAAACGGTGCTACAATATCCGACATCGGTAGCAACTCTCACGGTGCAGGTCAAGCCACAAAAAAACAAAAACGGCGGCAATCTCATTCCTGAACACGTACAAGAATGATTCTTCAAATAGTGCAGGAAGGAGAGTTAGCATTGCTGATTTCCCCCTCGTCAAACACGCCTACCACCAAACCCATGGAAGAGTGTAGCTTAATCCTGTACGCAACATGTACCTCGTGTAAACATTATGGCAAACCACACGAAAAGATGGGCATTTACAAGATACAGATGAGAGACGGTTTCTCTCGCACTTTCACACAAACGAAGGGCGTGCGCGCGTCGTCTCGAAGAAGTGGCACCCCTCGTGGCCACACCCCGAACATGCCGCTGCCTTTGACGATGGAGGAATGGCGAAACGCCACTTTGACTGTTGACAATCATCCAATCGAAAATGGAGGGAAACCATGCCGTCGGCTAATGAATACCACCCCCCCCAATGTCCCTAATGCCCGGTTCCTGTTTCGCAAGTGGCTTCGTTGTCGGGGAGCGAGGCTTCAACCACCCTTGTCAAACTTAACACACAGCAGGCTGGGTTTGGGCTTGGACAAGGAGCGCAACACCCTCGTCAGCCTCGTTAACCCCCCCGCCGAACGCTTGTGCAAAGTCGACCCCATCGTCGTCCTGCGGGAACAACTCCTTCGCCCACTGAGACCTCGAACCGACGCCCATGTGATAGTCCGCTCACATCCCACGAACCCCACCAGTTCCTGGTGTTGCCAAATGGAAGAAAAAAATGTAGTTGATCACTATGATGGACGTTTTTGTTCTCTCTACTAGTTTCGCCTTGGATATCGGTCATTGCTTTTCATGCGTGTGGGCCATCATCGTCGTCGCGTGTCTGTCGCAGTTGGTTTACGCCAATGTTGGAAACCAACTTCACGCTGACCTCTTCCGGGGAGCCTTTACGAAACCCACCATTCATTTTCTCTTCGACGCACGTGACGATTGTTGTGGCATTTGCTTCCCCACATGAATGAGGCTACATACAAAAGGGAAGGGGCAAGTAGTGCCGTAAAGAAAGATTATGATGCCTCTTGATGGAAGAGGGAAACTAGCTCCTGGCATGACCTAGCCGATACCGCCTCGAGGAAGGCTAGGTAGAACGGACCTAGTCAGGAGGTCGTTACACCGGAAAAAAAAAAAAGGTATGTACTCTGGCTGCGGTTGCTGCTGAGTAAAAAAGCTTGCACCATGTGGGGCAATACTGATCATCTCAACGAAACTACAGGGGCCGGGATCGGTATTGTGAGATGATATCCCTTGTTCCTGCCGATCCCACCTAGCGCATGTAAAGGTATGTTACAGTCTGGACCAAAGAAGCAAACACACCCGGTCAGGTGATGGGGCCAAGTTTGATGTGTGTTCTACACTAAAGGCACCAAATCTCTGTTCAGCAGTAGCGTGCGGTACAGAACCAGCTGGAGCAGGGAAGCCTCACGAGCAGAAGGTCTAGTGACGTCCAGCGCTAGAGTAGAGAGACCTAAAACGACAACAGAGGCAGCAACAACAACAGCAACAACAGCAACAACAGCAACAACAGAATAACGACAACAGCAACAGCAGCAGCACGTACCTCCTTGCCCATTTCCGCTAGCCTTCCCTGCTCCATCAGCGATAGCAGGTTTTCCGGTGGCAGGACGTAGAGGTTGGCTATCTCCCGCAGCTGCCCCGCCGCCGAGGTTACCCCGTCGCACCCAAACCTCCCCAACACCTCCTGTGTGAGAGGGAGCGAGTTCACAGAAGCGCAGAGCACATCAGGGAAGTGAGCAGAGAGCGAGTGAGAGCGCATAGCAAAGGAGAGAGTAGGGAGGGAGGCGGCCGGTGCGCGCACAGAAGAGAGGCGAGTAGAGAGTAGATGAGTGCACCGCAGAGCAGCGAGCACAGGGCGAACGAACACACAGCAGAGCAGTGAGCAGAGAGCGAATGAACACACAGCAGAGCAGCCGTGGAGGGTGAATGAATACACAGCAGGGAAGTGAGTAGAGAAGGAATGGGCAGATCGAAGAGCAGGCAAGGAAGGATAGCGGGGCGGCGCTCGATCACACGGCCGACGGCCAGACGCCGCCATGATGAAACAGAAAAAAACGAGAGCGAATCAGTGGGAAACAGTAGCACAGAACGCAGCACACACATCCATATTTCCCATGGTGAAAATCGAAGGCCATCAGTCGCATCGCTCCAGCACCTCCCTCTCCCTCTGCGGGGACAGAGCACCGCGCACCGTCGCACGAAGCAGGTATGCATATGATACTGTACTGCTGGTCGGAAAAAGAGCGAACTCGTTGGAAATTTCAAAACTAGCGGAAGCAGCCATCCTCCCCATCATCAACGCGTGCCGTCGTCAAGCACAGGGGCACTCCGCGAATGGAAGATGTATAGGGGAGGGGAAGAACAAACAAAAGCGGACGACACACGGCCACCAAAGCTTGCATACCACGCTCTTTCTGGACGTAATATATCAACACGCTACCGTCGCCTCCCGCCCCGCCCATCACTCAATACTAGGATAGTCGCTCCTGTAAAACGGGCACTGCGAGCAAATACCCCGTGGGTGCCGAACGTCACCATCGAGCCAGTTGATCACCATCGCTGTCTCATGGACCACAGTAGTTCCCCCTCACGACTTTTGAATCACCGGCAAGAAATGTCTTGGACCAATCAACTACGATGGCGGTGTCGACGAGAAAAAATATCACATACACGAAAAGCATACGCAAAATAACTCATCTAGCCAGTATATGACATCGAGCTGCTGGATTTGATGAGGACATAGGTTGCAAAGCACCGATGACATCAGCAACGTTGTCTAGCCATGCAGCGTACAGAGGGCCGCAGCTCAAGGCACTCGGTCGTTGCCACTCTATCGTATGGTGTTTACCTGTAGGCGGGCGGTTGACGTCGTTGGCCAAGACAAATGCACCGATCACGTTGACCTTCGTCTTGTTCAGGTGCTCCACGAACAACTCGTGAACCTGCCGAGACAACAGAAAGCGGGTGCCGCGTAGGCGGAGGAAGCGGCCATCGTCATCGTTAGCGAGAAGCACGTTGCCACAAGACACTACCCGACAAAGGCCGCGATAGCCCAAGGGAGCTATGCGTTAGCCAGGCGGCGAATGATGTTGCATCATGACCCGTGCGTCGTAATTTTTCGGACAGGCGAGCCACCGCTGTTTGAAACATATCGGGGGGCCGTGCTTGCTTGCTGCGTGTTTCCCATACTCGTCCGATTAGGTTCGGTTTGTTAACGGGGAGGTTGGTAACACACAGGCAGGAACGTGCCCGCTTAAGGCAGGCCCGTTATGAATTGAACCCGCACATTCAAAGAGAAAACTCATTCGATGGCTAAGCCACGAGGAGAGACCTACTGCAGCCATGCGCTGCCAAACAACCACAGGAGCGTGGAGAAAACGCGCCGCTAAGAACAGGCAGGAGATAGCTGCCAGACGGCAACGCAAAATTGTGAACACAAGCATACCAGCGGTTCGATGATGGGGGTCTTCCAGCTTCCCCGTCGTCTGAGGGGGGTGGTATGAGGTGATTGCGCAAGCAAGCTATGAACTACCCCTACCAAGTGCAACGTGAGGAGGACGGCGAAGAACTGTCGAGGGTAGGATTTGGGGCGTGCGTGGTGGAGGACCCAGTTCTTTAGCTACGATCGATGATACTTGAGGATATCAAGGTCTCAAACCGAGCTCCAACAGCGTTTCGAGTTCCCCACTCGCTGGTCGCACCTTACCTTACCATCCACAGGCTAAAGCTACAGCCTCGCATCGGCAGGGCTAGCGTTACATGGGGGTTACAGAGATGGAGAACTCTACCAAGAATAATGATTAGGTTCCGGAAAAATTCACCCGGTGTCCGACGCACTCCCAGAGCATCCAGAGGTCAATTCTTTGGTCGACCTCCTTGAGGCACTCTACGAAGACGCTGGGTTGCTCTTCCAGTACGGAGAACACCGCCTGAACGGTGACGGTGACGGTTACCATAACGGTAACCGGAACGGTAACGGCAACGGCAACGGCAACGGTAACGGTGGCCATGGGGATAAGGCGGCCAAACAAAGCAGCATGAAAGAGGACAGAAAACAATGGAGGGGGGTCGTTTTCCAGTCGCAAAAGGTAGAAACTGACCTCGAGCTAATGTCGGCACCTTGTCCCACAACGCACCCGGGACAGCGCACTCCACATCGTATCGTGTCGTATGTAGGCATCACTAAGGGAGTAAATAGGAACACCATGACGGTTTCGTTTCGCACATGCTCGCGCTAGTGTCCTCGTTGGGGCAAGAGAAGCAACGTCCAAAGAACACTGAGGCCCCACGAAAACAGGGAACGTCAAGAGCGAGCAAGCACATAGCGTGGGATGACGCAAAAGGAATCCTAACAGCAGTGGACGCAGCATGTGCGTGGGACACTGCCGGGTTTCAATCAAAAATCGCGGGCGAACATCTGTCCCTTGAAGCAGGGCGGCTAGTGCAAAGATGGCATGCGATTACGATGACACGACGGTTGTAAATGTTACGAAAACAACGACCACCAGCCATCAACAACGACAATCGCCCACCAACCTACCAACAGAACAAACAAACGATACAAATCCAAACCTTGACGGTCCTGGTGGCCTCGATCGCGGCGCTCTTCTCCTAGGGACAGTAGTCGCTCTTGCTAGACTTTAGAGACATCTGCTTCTCCGCGTACAGGATCAGCAGCCTCATCGCATCCTCCAGCACTCTTACCGTCCGCGACTACATGAGACGCACACACGTTGCCAATGTTATGTGGATTGTTCCAGCAGCTTCTGAGCAATAGCATCTTTAGCAGCAGTATTTTCAGCAACAGCAACAGCGGAAGCATTGGTCGAGTGACAGAGTTTGTGGGCATCGTGGTCGTTCGTACGACCTTGGCGGATGCCGTTGTCTTCACGATATGACTGTTGCTCTGACCGCTGAAACCAGCCGGCCCGTCGACATGCTCTCTTGCTTCTGCAAAAAAACGAAAAAGAAAAAAGGCAACCCGCAGTTTGTGTGGACGCCCGCAGTTTGTGTGGGCGAGCGTGTCGAGAGGGGTCAACAAACAGCCCGACTCCCGTTGAAACGACAAAGGCGTACTGAGATGTTGGGCTTGATCGACTAAAGGCGGAAACAGCCCAAAACGGGCAGCGTACCCACACTCACAAACTCATGATCAAATCGAAAAATAAACGACAAAACACTGTCGTAGAGGACAGGGTCGGTGATTGCGAACGCCATCGGGAACTGGAACGTAAAAGAAAACAACTCAAAGACGCCATAGCGAACAAAACAGGGAAGATAACATTAACGGGGCGATGAGCACCGGCACTTGGATGCATCATCGTCAAAGCACTTGGAACACTGTACGTATACCTCCCAGGGAGATGGGATACCTCCAGTCTGGCAGCCTTTGTGCGAAGCAAGTGCAGAAGGGCCCTCATTGCATCGCTGGCCTTTGAATACGGTCTTTTTTCTACACATCCACCTACCCACACCTCCTTCGTGTCTCACGCTACAGAATTTCTGTCATATTCCCCTGTCGGGGGGGGGGCGCAGACAAGAAATGGCTACCTCGCTGCGGCTGTCATCTATCTCTCCAAGGCCGATGGTGCTTGGTCTCCTCGTTGACGCTGTCGTCGCCCACAATGAAAACACCCCAACACATCACGGCAAATCAAACGACAGAGGTATGCAAATCTACAAGTAAGCACCATCAACACCAAAAACGACGAAAGCGTGTACTGCCTGCTGACTACTCACGTCTACGCTGTGCAGGAGGCTCTTCTTGGTCTCGCTGGCGATCGTGCGGAGGGTCCGCGTGGCCTCCATCCCCTTCGCCACAACCTCTCGGTGGTGCTCCTCCAGACCCGCCGCCGCCTTCGACGCCGCCTTTACCGCCTCGAATATCTCCTACGGTTTTTTTGTTTATTTTCGTAGCCGGAATTTTGGTCGCGGTACAAGTTGGAGTTGGGGTTGATATTTGGTTCGGGGAACCAACCGGCTTGGGTATTGCGAGTGAATCGGGTAGGGGTAGGGCTAGCATCGACTTACTGTATGCCTTCTCCCACAACATAACACATGGAATACGCATGCAGCAACAAACGTCAATACTACACAGCAGCGCCTCCTTTTTTCATCTACTGGAATAGATGGATCGTTGTGTCTGATCGCTGATGCGGCGTAGTTTCATACGACTCACGCGCGTGCACCGTCCTCAAAACAAACACCCCCCGACCTCGCTCTTGTCACAACCTACAGTATCTGGTTTTGTTTTCCGTGCCCAGTGTTGCAACACACACGCCAAACTTGCGGATGTGCGTCGTCGTGGTAAACAAACGAGGTGCCGTGCATTGAAGCGTGCATTCGAACACGACCATGACCTTGGACAACAAGCTGTGTTCGGACAAGGTCGGTTCGGGCCGCTGCCTCAAACTCCCGAACTCCCAGGCATTGACCGATCGACTCTCTGTGTTGGGAGACCCGCAGACAAGACTCACACTGTCTCGTAGGCAACCCGCACCGTCAGCCATCGCTACGTGAAGCCGAGCGGAGCTGAGAAATCCTTAGCAAAAGAAACAATTTGGAGAGAAACACGTGCCTGACAACAACGATCGATGCCGCTTCAACACCATCGTCGCCAAAACACCACCAGCTCCACTCAGGCCCTAGGCCGGAGCTGCCCCGCCCCGCCGGTCATCTCCCTGAGCGCCGCGCTGGCCGCGTTGGCCGCGGGCTTGGGCAAAAGGTTGTTCGCGCACCTCAGGGCCGGCGTGAGCAGGTGATCGGCGAGGAACCAGCACCCCAACTGGAAGAACTCGCAAACCTGTACTGTACAGCCGTCATCGTCGTTGGGTAATGCCACGCCGTATTATGCTATCATATTCACGGTCAACAACTCTTCGATATATCGTGGGTCGACAAGGAAAGTCGTTACCGGGTGGATATCTGTTGCTTCGGCGCCTTGTGTATGAAGCGAGGGGGGTCTTAGGATGGCCAACACGTTTGGGCATACTCTGTTTTGTAGACTACCGTAAGTTCTTGGAAGCGACGGTGTTGTGCATATGAAACTTGATGCTGTGTAACCTTTCGTCGCTCTCTCTCTCTCCCTCTCCCTCTCTCTCTTCCTCTCCCCCTCGCCCTTGTGCGTATTTCTCCGTGATGTCAAAAAACTGCCTTCTCTAGCAGCAGGCATCTGAAATTTCGTTCTCCCTTGAACTCGTCAGTTTTCCGTGCTTCGTGAGAGCGGCGTGTTTAACGACAGCAACAACAACAAAAACGACGCTGTCAACAATATCGGCGGCAAGCAAAGCACTCGCCTTCTGCTCCCGCTCCTCCTCTTCCCGCTCCTCCTCTTCCCGCTCCTCCTCTTCCCGCTCCTCCTCTTCCCGCTCCTCCTCTTCCCGCTCCTCCTCTTCCCGCTCCTCCTCTTCCCGCTCCTCCTCTTCCCGCTCCTCCTCTTCCCGCTCCTCCTCTTCCCGCTCCTCCTCTTCCCGCTCCTCCTCTTCCCGCTCCTCCTCTTCCCGCTCCTCCTCTTCCCGCTCCTCCTCTTCCCGCTCCTCCTCTTCCCGCTCCTCCTCTTCCCGCTCCTCCTCTTCCCGCTCCTCCTCTTCCCGCTCCTCCTCTTCCACGATGATGGTTCGGCAGCGAAGGATGGTTTCGGAGCTGCACGAGAATACGCCTCCCCAGGCGGACGGCCGTAATGGTCCGGATAGCACCTGGAGGTAGGAGCCGATCTAAAGAAAAAATAAAAGCACATGCACACGCGCGCGACAAGATCCACAAAAAACAGACAAGCAACGGTGCAGGCGAACGTAACAAAAAAACAAACCAAAAGCAGCGAAACATAGCACATGTCGTGTGCAAATAACACCTGACAGCCACGCGACGCATTAAAAGAAAAAAATACAAACAAAACAAAGGAAACCCAGACCAAAAAGCCCCAAGCCACCACTGATCCGTCAACGGATTTGGCAACGAGTTGCACCCAGAAAAGCTTCACTCCCGTCCGCTCTCTCATCAACGGAGATTGCATCAACAATGACTGGAGCCAAGAACGTCTTCTCGAGCCCCACAGGTACGGATCTCTTCCGAAGATACCCTACTCCACCCCTCCCTAGGGACCTATTAACTCCGTGAACTTGTCGATACAGTCGACGGTCCTCAATATCGGTGCCCTCTCAAGCGAGATGCCCTCTATAACGGCAACAAAATCCCTTGGCACGAGTGCATCCCTCAAAAGCGGTACTTGTGCCGCTTTTGAGGAATGAATCCTTTATAGGGGCACAACGCCGCTGTAAAGGACAACATAATGCAAGACAAAGGTAAGGGGAGCATCAAAGGTCATAAGGATTCAGGGGTGGCGGGGCTGACGACTGCACTCGATGTGCTCAGCATGGGCATGAAGGAGGTAGCGATGGGGGGAGGTGGTGAACAAGACCCAGAGATGTGCGAGGTACTCTCGTCCCTCGGCATCGTCCCGGGTAAGTAAGCCCCACCCCGACAAGTCATCTAGGAGGTCGAGTCTTGGGTGCAGCTAGAGGAGCAGGATGAGGTGGTTAAGGCTCGCGCCGCGGACGCGGAGGCGGCGCTCAATAAACAGATAAATCGCAACTTTACCGAGGACTCTGATTCCGACGAGGAGCTGAACGACACGGGGGAGGTTGAGAGTGCTGGTGGTACATAGGAAGTTGATGGCGCCGCCGCCGTACTCGGATCTGTCGGAAA